GCATGCCAAGATCATATGCCCTGGAGCTCCACAATATAAACAGAGGCCCGGGTCAGCCTTCTCTGCCGCTCAGCAGAAGATAATCGTTGCTTTTCCACGATCGTGGGTTCTGGTGCTGGTTCTGGAGGATAACTGGGCTCTGGTGGGCGGAGGCAGGAGGTTGTGGCGTGGACGGGTATGGCTGCTAGACAGGACTGCATGCGGATCGAGCATCGGACGGATAATTGCATGAACTTTTCCAATCCAAACGAATCATCATAGGCAGCGAGCTGTAACCGAAGCTGGGGTTCCAGCCCCTGTCTGTAGGTGGTCAGTAGTGCTCTCTCATTCCATCCACTCGCCGCAGCGAGAGTCCTAAACTTCAGCGAGTATTCAGCAATTGGCATGGTCCCCTGTTGTAGGTGATAGAGCTGCTCTCCCACAGCGGCATCTCCGTCTGTCCTTCCAAATACCTCGCGAAAATGCACCAGGAAGTTCTGCAGATCTTGAATGATGGGGCTGGCCTGAGCCCAGATCGTTTCCACCCATTGGAGTGCAGGTCCTGTTAGCAGGGAGATAATAAAAGCAATTTTAGAGGTGTCGGTGGGATATGAATGTGGTTGCATCTTAAAGGTGAGATTGCACTGGAGGAGAAATCCGTTGCACTCCTCCGCCGAACCAGAGTAGGGTGCCGGTCGGGCCATGGGACTAGCGATGATGGTAGGCGAAGAAGTGGTGGTTGGGATGGAAGAGGTCTTCCGTTACAGAAGAGGTCTGACACAACAGGTTAGTTTTATACAAAACAGTTTATTTGGTCACAGTGAGTACTGGTGTTGAGTCCGGAGGAAGTGAGGGTGAGGGAAAGGTCCGTGAGAGAGTGCAGAGGATATGGAGAGTGGAGTAATCCGAGTCTTTTGCTTGATTGAGGCTGGAAGGTATCCGGGGGAAGCACACACCTCAGCGATCCGGGAACTAGGAGATACAGGAGACACTTGGAGACGAGGAGACACTAGGAGGAACACAGGAGGTAAGTAATGCAAGAAGTATTCAAAGGTAATCAGTAGCAAAGTCATTGAGTCCTCTACGTGTATACGAGACCGGACAGTGAGGGTGTCTGAGGTGTGTGCTTTTATGCAGGCTGGTAATGAGGTGCTTGATTGGTGACAGGTGCAGGTGCTCAGAACTCAGGTGAGAGGGATCGTTGTGATTGGGCGGTGGCCGAGCCTGGCGGATCTGTTATAGTTATTACACTTTGGAGTAATGACCTCGACGCGGAGGAGTCACATCAGATGATTGAATTAATTAATCTGCAGAGATGGGCGTTATACGCAAATAGGATTGGAGAATCGACGTACACACCGTTCTAGTTCAAAAGAAAGCATGGCGATGGAGAGGAGAAATCCGCACAAAAGGGCATGACCTCAACATCTGCTCGACGAAAATTTGGAAGCAGGTAATTGTGTATGTCATATTTTTCAAATTTGTACAATATTAGCATTAAGTTAGTTAGTTAGTTAACACATGCCGGTAGAACAGTACATCAGTGGAACCTGGTTTCACAAAACAGCCTTAATTCTAGTCCCAGGCTAAAATGCATGTTTGAGCTGTCATAAGTGAAAATAACTTGCACGGGCAGATCTTAGAATATGTAAAAATGCACACCAGTAGACAGACATTTTTATAAAAGCTACCTAAATATCTTAATTTAACTAAGGCCTAGTCCCTGCTTAAGCTAACCTATGATCAAAACATCAAGGAAGTTTATAAGACACTTTGATTTATATGATATTTTATGTTTAATCTAATATTAAATTCAATCAATTTTGGCTCTTCTCTCATCATAAATCAAATGTTTGTGTTTTGTATCAACAGAAGCATCAGCACCACCAACACCAACCCTGCAGGTGTCCTTAATAAAACTTAAGGAAGAAAATGCATTTTTGAAATCCAAAATCAAGGTCCTTGAGGACAAATGCCGAGATTTAGAGAATGAGAGGGATTTCCTGCGCAGCAGTCTGACAAATGGTAAAATGTCGTCTGTCTAATAAAAAGCAAGTCAATTTAATTAATATGCACGCATTCAAATTGTTCAGTTTTTATAAAGATTTAGGTCTAATAAACAGAATTTTTAAAAATAGTTTAAGATGGCTTGAGGGTGAGAAAATTTTAGGGGGAAATTTTTATTTTTGGATGAACTATCCCTTTAATGCCTACAAATATGCATAAAATTGTGAGCACTAACTTGACATGTCACATATTTAAGTCACATAAGTAACATTGAGTTACATGAATCATGGCTTTTTTTCAAAATCTCACCCTAAAGAAGATATACATGTCATATACACCTAATATGGCTTGAGGGGGAGAAAATTTTGGGGGAAATTTTCATTTTTGGATGAACTATCCCTTTAATGCCTACAAATATGCATACAATTGTGAGCACTAACTTGACATGTCACATAAGTAACACTGAGTTACATGAATCATGGCTAACTTTAAATGGACCCTTTTCATATCTCCACAGTTACCAAAAACAAATTTATTAAATTAATTTTTAAGTGTATTTGATAAAAGCATCTGTAAAATGTATTTGATAAAAGCATCTGTAAAAAAGAAGAAAAAAAGAAAAAGTATTTTTTATTTTACTGTGCTGCATTTTAAACATTTATTAAGAAGTAAATTATTTTACATTTTATTTTAAGTTGCAATTACATTTGTAAACAATTCACAAATACACAATTCTCCAAATGTATTGGTATGTCTTAATTATATTACTAGCTCACATCATGTAGGGTGGCAAATCATTAAAATTAAATTAAAATAGTTTTGTTTGTATTTCTTATCAGCGTTGTCAACAAAGGAAGAGTTGCAGGGAGCTTCTTCCAAACCCCCCCAAAATTTGATTGTGAACCCTGACTCTTCCGATGAAGACTATTTTGACCTGCCTGAAGAAAATAAGAAGGTGAAAATAGAGAAGAAAGGAAAAGAAAAAAAAAGAAAGCAAGGTCAACTCCTCATCCTCTTCAGATTAATCTTTTTCCACCTCTGATTCATCGGTTTCCTCTTCACCACAAAAAAAGAGGAAGCATAAGAAAAAGTCAAGAAAGACAGCAAAACGCAGAATGAAAAAAAAAGTATTTTTTTAAAATGTTGTCTAGTAAAATGTAGTGAGTATTTTATATAAAAAATAAATGCCATAAATACTTTGCACGTCTCAATTAAAGCCAGGGACACACTGCACGATTTTCGGCTGTCGCAGACGAAAGATTGTCATCGTGAAACAATCGTGGTGATTTCTGTGATTGTGGCTTCTAAACGGTGGTCTTATGTCGTAGGGGAAGTCGTGGCCTAATGGTTAGAGAGTCAGGACTTGTAAGCCAAAGGTTGCGGATTCTAGTCTCATACCGGCAGGGATTGTAGGTGGGGGGAGTGAATGTACAGCGCTCTCTCCCACCTTCAATACCACGACTGAGGTGCCCTTGAGCAATGCACCGAACCCCCAACTGCTCCCTGGGTGCCGCAGCAAAAAATGGCTGCCCACTGCTCCGGGGGTGTTTGTGTTCACTGCTGTGTGTGTGTGCACTTTGGATGGGATAAATGCAGAGCACTAATTCCGAGTATGGGTCACCATACTTGGCCACATGTCATGTCGTTTTTTTTTTCACTAGAGTGAGAAAGGTTTAAAGATGGCAAGGTTGTCAAGGTCTTGCGCCAGTGTCAGAAATTCAGCATGACATCTCACAGTGTGTTTGCTGCTACGGCCTATGTCTACTGACCAGCCAATAAAAATGCAACACGAAATGGTGCTTAATCAATGCGATACGGTGCTAAAATGTAAACCTGCTTACCTCAAACTCTTTTCCATCCCTCCTTTACAGCTTCCTTTGTTTTTTCAGCACACAGAAACCACAAATTCCAAAGTGTGATTCATCATGCTTTTCTGTTTACCAGTAGTGCATGCTGATGACGTTTTATTGCTCTATAGTAACTTGAGTCGTAGCCTACGAGTCAACAGGTGTCATCATCGTACAATCAACATGCATCCTACCCAGGATGATTAGATCCATGTCGCACAGTGTGATCTGCAATCATCTTATAAGATTGCTGAAATCGCAGTGTGTAGCAGGCTTTACACCATAAATTAATATTTGCAGTAACCAACTTTGTTCATGTAATCCCACATTGATTCTGATGACACCCTTAGTGTGTAGTGTTAATTATTTTAAGTACTTAAAAGATGTTTAACATATGTATTTAACTGGTTTTGCAGCAAAAGACAATACATTTAAAAAAAAATGAATTCAGTGAATTTGTCAATGAACTGACTAAAGTGAATTTATTTTTAATCAAGCATTTTAATAACTGATCAATAACTGTCCATTACCATTAAAGTGAAATTACTAAACCTAATCATAAGAGCCTGATAAAAAAATGCTTATTTACTATAAAACATGTCAGTCACAATTAGAGGCTTTTGCATATGAATTCTTCATATATGAAATTGTCTTACTGGAGTTACATACTAAGCATGCACCTTTGATCTATTCCAGTGTTTCTACCAGAAGATGCAATCCAAAGATACAAAAAGGTCCTCAAAACGTTGGCTTACCACAAGTGTGGGGTGGACCGCAAAACAATTGTGGAGACTGCAGCGATAGCAGAGCTAGAAGCTTGTGACGCTAAAGCCTACAAGACATTGCGTGAAGAGTTTGCCAAACATTGCAAAGAAATGTGCGTAATGGAGCCACTTCGATGCATTATCGAGGAAAAAAAGAAGAATGGCATGCTTATCGACCATTGCCAGAAAAAAAGTAACTTGAGTTACATTAAATGTTGAGAAACACAGTTGATGTTGAGAAACATTGCTGAAGTTGAAGTTCAGGCATACACAATATTTGCTGTCATCTTATCTGTTGTTATATTTAGTAAGTTCCTAGTAATTTGCTGAAAATTTTGGTATTAATGTTTTCTTTAAGACAGTGTTCACCTTTTGATTGTTTTGTTGTGTGAAAATAGACACAACATTCATTGAAAACATTATCAACACTTATTGCAATAAATGTAAATGTTCTTTTAATTTGTCATTGTTTTTAAGTAGAATTAAGGTTCTTTATTAATTACTTACCAGTTCGCTATGTTTTCACTTTAGAATACTGTTCCAGGTTCTAAGTAATTCCTTGAGAATGATGTGGTAATTCTTTATTAATGACTCATGGGTTCCCTGTATTCTCATTTTCCCTCAGTCATTGCCTTAAATACAGAAATCATTTGGTATCACTTTATAATAGTGATGCTAAATATCCTGAGGAAAACAGACACACAAAATGTATATAAAACCATAAAATACCTGAGGCATGTTGGCAAGGCACTTAGAGTGGGGATGGGGTTCCATCCTGAACTTCTGGTTGCAGACAACACTTACATTAAAAAAAATAAAAATAAAAAACATTATCACCAACATTATCATCATTAATGTAGTATCTACAGCGTTATTTTAATGAAAATTGTGGACAGCGCATTATTATAACGCGAGAGCGCGTCAAATGCACAAGCAATGAATCTCTCTGCTTACATGCGGAATCTCAATCCATTCTCTCGCACAAAACTGGACTCACAGAAATTGCGTGTGTGCACTCACACTTTGACTTGCATGTGCACTCATGAACCTCTGTGTACTCTTTCACTAGAATTGTCTTCTCTCCTGGATTTAATGCTGCAAGAAGTGCAGCATTATAGCGTGGGCACCCACAGACAGAAACATTAATCGGCACCCATGCGAACGAATGTAAATCAATATTTACATAGCATATATAACAGTAGTAAATTAATCTAACAACATTAGTACTAAAGAAGAAGAAAGGGCCACATCTGATACTGTGCATCACTGTTCATTAGTAGTTACTTAATAGTAGTTCTTCAGGAGGCATGACTGAATTGAATAGTTACTGATTAACTAATTGTTACTTAACACAATTAAAAAATGCTACTACATATTGGTTAGTTAACACATATTCCTTAGTAGTTAATAGTAGTGACTTGAGTGTTAATGAAGAATTACCCATTAGTTCTGCAGTAACTCCTTATTAGTTATGCATTAGGTAAGATACAGTATTCTAAAGTGTTACCGGATTTTTTTCTCCCTAAAACTGACAGAAAAGGATAAGGCCTAAGAGATTTCTTAAGCTGTAATGGAAAAAAACAAACAAACAAAAAATTACTGATAATTTTTTTTCTGGTGATTAAAGAGATGTTTAAAAGTCTTTTCTTTCTCTCTCTCTCTCTCTTGCTCTCTCACCCACCCCTTCACTCACCCTCACCCTCACTCTCAACACACACACACCCACCCACCCCCCACCTCCCCCCTTCCTCACACAGAGGCAGAGTGGCAGAGTGAGATCAGTTGTCTGATAGTTTTTTTATTTTCTGTTATCCATAGAGCATTGTAAAGTTGTGAAACTATGCATATTTCCTCAGAATTACTTGTTCTCTGTATGTAAAAAGGTTTGAAGTGTTTGGAAGCTGCACTTTTAATAATATAAGACAATTACTGTTTCCTTTTTTACTGTTATTTTAATAAATCACCACGGCAAAACCGTTCAAGCTATCCAAAATCCATCCGCAATTTAAGTTCCTCAATGTTTTGGCATCATGTAGACAAAGTTTGGTATTTATAGTATAATTCTCCTCTGAGGAGTATGCATTAATTCACAGCTATATTTTTCCAAAAATCCATATTCAAATTAAAATAGCCGACTTCCTTTTGGTAGTAGCTAATGACTGTATATTAGAAAGTTGTCCGGGTTGATGAGAACAATATATGTACAAAGTTTGGTGACTGTAGCTAAAACTAACCCCCCAAGTTAAGTCAAAAGGTGGCGCTATAGAGTGCCTCTTCCACGCCCTTTTATGAGCTTTTGCCAGTGTCTATCTATCATTAATACTGATATGTGTGTTGAGGTTCATGAAATTCTAAGCATGTTATCTGCCTCAAAATCACCAGAAAAAAATATTCAAGTTTGACACGTTGCCATGGCAACAACCTTTTAGATATCAATATCCCCTCAACAGTTTTACATTGGCCGTTTTTTGACATTATTCTGAAGAAGTTTGAAGCAAATTGAATAAAAACAAGATGCTGAACTCCAGTTGGTGGCGCTATAACTTTGACTCCCAATAGTCACATCTATGCGATCGGCATCATACAATGAACAAACCACTGAAGTTTGATCAAAATCAGACAATGTATGTGGATGTTATTAGACACTTCCTGTTTCTCATTTCTCACCATAACTTCATTGCCTCACCACGGCAAACTGTTCGAGATATCAAAAATCCCTTCGCAATTTAGTTCACTGAGTTTGGTGGCAATCGGTTGGAAATCCTCAGAGGAGTATATCAAATTCAAGAGCATGCGCTTTTTAAACAGCCCTGAATAGCCAACTTCCTGTTGGGTCGGAGCCTATGACATGCAGCGTGAAAGTTGTTCAGCTCAATGAGATCTATATGTGTACCGAGTTTCATATGAATACGTGCAAGTATGTGTAAGATATACAGTATCTCACAGAAGTGAGTACACTCCTCATATTTTAGTAAATATTTTATTATATCTTTTCATGTGACAACACTGAAGAAATGACACTTTGCTACAATGTAAAGTAGTGTGTGTACAGCTTGTATAACAGTGTAAGAGCATGCGCTTTTTAAACAGCCCTGAATAGCCAACTTCCTGTTGGGTCGGAGCCTATGACATGCAGCGTGAAAGTTGTTCAGCTCAATGAGATCTATATGTGTACCGAGTTTCATATGAATACGTGCAAGTATGTGTAAGATATACAGTATCTCACAGAAGTGAGTACACTCCTCATATTTTAGTAAATATTTTATTATATCTTTTCATGTGACAACACTGAAGAAATGACACTTTGCTACAATGTAAAGTAGTGTGTGTACAGTTGGTAAATTTGTAAATTTGCTGTCCCTTCAAAATAACTCAACACACAGCCATTAATGTCTAAACCGCTGGCCACAAAAGTGAGTACACCCCTAAGTGAAAGAAATGTTGCTCTACATAAAGATGGCGTAGGCTATAAGAAGATTGCCAAGACCCTGAAACTGAGCTGCAGCACGGTGGCCAAGACCATACAGCAGTTTAACAGGACAGGTTCCATTCAGAACAGGTCTCGCCACGGTCGACCAAAGAAGTTGAGTGCACGTGCTACAGTTACAGTTAATTGAGGGAACCATGAATGCCAACATGTACTGTGACATACTGAAGCTGAGCATGATCCCCTCCCTTTGGAGACTGGGCCGCAGGGCAGTATTCCAACATGATAATAACCCCAAACAATAACTGCCATGCTAAAGAAGCTGAGGGTAAAGGTGATGGATTGGCCAAGCATGTCTCCAGACCTAAACCCTATTGAGCATCTGTGGGGCATCCTCAAACGGAAGGTGGAGGAGCGCAAGGTCTCTAACATCTGGAAGAGGACTCCAGTGGCAACCTGTGAAGCTCTGGTGAACTCCATGCCCAAGAGGGTTAAGGCAGTGCTGGAAAATAAAGGTGGCTACACAAAATATTGACACTTTGGGCCCAATTTGGACATTTTCACTTGGGGTATACTCACTTTTGTGGCCAGCTACAGACATTAATGGCTGTGTGTTGAGTTATTTTGAGGGGACAGCAAATTTACACTGTTATACAAGTTGTACACACCCGGGGAAGTCGTGGCCTAATGGTTAGAAAATCGGACTCATAACCCAAAGGTACCGGCAGGGATTGTAGGTGGGGGGGAGTGAATGTACAGCACTCTCTCCCACCTTCAATACCACGACTGAGGTGCCCTTGAGCAAGGCACCGAACCCCCAGTGTGCGTTCACTGCTGTGTGTGCGTGCACTTTGGATGGGTAAATGCAGAGCACTAATTCTGAGTATGGGTCACCATACTTGGCCACATGTCATGTCACGTCACACTACTTTACATTGTAGCAAAGTGTCATTTCTTCAGTGTTGTCACATGAAAAGATATAATAACATATTTACAAAAATGTGATATACTGTACATCAAGTTTTCAGACTGTGTTCCAGGGGGCGCTGTAGAGTCCCTGTGCCACGCCCGGGTCCCAGCCTCTGCGGCATTCTAATGACCGCAGATTCCAACGTGTGTGCCAATTTTCAAGAGTTTTTGAGCATGTTAAGGCCCCCGGATAGTCGAAGAAAAAAAAATTCTTAGAAAAACAATAGGGTGCCAGTAATAACTAATTAATAACTGATTATGTTGTAGTCAATGTAAATGTTGCCAATTTAGTGATTTTGTCACTAGATTTAGATACTTCCTCGCCCCTTTTGAGACTTTTTTTCAAAAGCCTAGCAATTGAAAGTAGCTGGCAACACTGGTCAGTATTTTTTCCCTCATATTTTGATTGTTAAAAAAAAAAAAAGAAACTCCACACATCACTTTTAGCCACTGTTGTGTTTGATGGGGTCAGTGCCACAATATTTAAGACCCTCATCACTAATTTTCCAGCCAAACATTTTTTATTACTACTTTCATTTCTGTAGTTAGAGCATTGATTTTTAGAGTGGAAGAAGTTATTAAATTTCTTACTTGGTTACAATTACAAAAATAATTGACTATCTTTACAATCAAGTTTGTATCGTTTTATTAACTCAATATCATCATACAAGTCAATACGTCAGATCTTTGTTACAAAGTGTGTGTGTCTCCTTCTCTTTGCTGCCATCTTGTTACTCCTAACTAGGCTAGGAGACCTCTCCAGCTCTCTTAAATAATTTAGGAGCTGAGACCTAGTCTTAACACTTAGGAACCTTTCTGAATCCCTCTTAAGCCCCGTTCACACCGCCAGCGACTTTTTCGCTGCTTGTCGCTTGTGGCTGGCAATTGAGGTCGCTTGTGGGCGTTCCCACTACTGGTTGCCTAGTTACCCCAGTAACACTCCACTACAGCAGATGAATCACGTGCGCTCCACTGACTTCACTCCCATTGGTTGTCGCTCGCGATATTCGCTGCTTATTTGCATAAAGTTGAAGAATTCTGAACTTTTGTCGCTTGACTCGCATCGCTTGACGGTCACTGTCGCTCGTGTCGCCGGAAGTCGCCAGCTCTCCATTGAAAATGAATGGGATTATGTCGCTCTGTCGCTGTGTGTCGCTGGCGGTGTGAACGGTGCTTTATTCTTAAGTCTAGGAAAAAGAGTAAAATTACATTGTTCTTAGAATTTTGACACACTTAAGACTGAAATTTTACTCTGAGCAGCTTTATACATACGGCCCCAGGTATTTATAAAACCCTGTGTACTGCCCTGCTTTAAATCAGTCTATTAAATTTATATCATGGTTAAATGTTGGTATATTCAACTTAAATTTAACATTCATATTTTATTGACAAGATTTGTACAACAACAACAAAACACACACACACACACACACACACACACACACATAAAAGTGTTTAGTATTTTTGCATAATTCATAGGCAGGTCGTATTGTTGACTAGCTGAGGTCACTGACCTTGTGAAAATTTAAGTAGTAATATATACAATTTGTCCTTAAGAGACATATACTTCTCAGAATTTAGCTATTGTTTGTGATGAGGTAGAATGTATTTTTTCTTTATATGTAAAATATCTGAAGGGCAAATTGAATGATGCCAAAAACAGCAGGTGCAATTTATTTTGATTGATTTCCCCCTTGGTGTTTATCAAAATTAATTATTTTATTGAGATGCAGCTTCAGAGCCCTGTTGTCTTTGTTGCATTTTCTGCTGATATCTTGGAGAGTTTTGGGAAGATTAGGTTGCTTTGGAAACGCAAATGTTGTGTGATTTGACAGGAGGGAGGTTGTTATGAAACTCTTGTGCTATAAATCTGTGCTCTTTGCTCCATGAGGTGGTTCATTGTAGAAGGAAAGGTAAGAACATAGATGAGAGTCTGTGACTGGAGCATTAAGCAAAATAAGATTTTAGAGCAGATTTAATCTCCTGTTTGGTCGATTTAAGTATTGCATTGAAAATCTAGTGAGTTTTCAACATGTAATTCATTCATAGAGATTCGTAAATCTTTAAAGGCTGAAATTGACTTCACTCCATTGTTTCAGGGAAGCTCCAGTGAATTGTGTAAATGGACGTCCAAATCAACATCAGCCAAATAGCAATCTGGGAAAAGCCTGTTCTCTGTTATGAGTTTAGTAACAGGTCTTGTCAGAAGTTTGTCTATCCTTTGGAAACTCGAATATTACTCTACATCCTTTTTAGCATTTCTTCAATTGTCACAATCATAGGAAACCTGCTTGTGATCATAACGGTCATTCATTTCAAGCAGCTTCACACACCAACTAACTACCTCATCCTGTCTCTGGCCGTGGCCGATCTGCTTGTAGGAGGAGTTGTGATGCCTCCCAGCATGCTGCGCTCCATCGAGACGTGCTGGTATCTGGGAGATTTGTTCTGTAAAATACACAGCAGTCTTGATGTGACATTATGCACTGCGTCAATATTAAATCTATGTATAATTTCTTTAGACAGATATTATGCCATATGTCACCCCTTTCAATATCAGAGTAAAATGACATCACTTGCTACACTAGTTATGATTATTATCTGCTGGAGTGTTTCAGCTGCTCTGGGGTTTGGCATGATCTTCATGGAGCTTAATATTCTGGGCATTGAGGATTTTTACTATGAAAATGTTGACTGTGATGGAAAATGCTTGGTGTTTCAGAGCAGAGAAGCAGCTACTGTAATGTCATTGGCCTGTTTTTATGTTCCTGCTTTTGTCATGCTCTGTGTGTACCTCAAGATCTTACACACAGCTCAACGGCAGGTTCAGGCCATCCAGAGTGTGAATTCTGAATTTAAAAAAGAGGGAAAAGCTACTAAGACTTTAGCCATCGTCATGGGGGTGTTTCTGACCTTCTGGATTCCATTTTTCCTTTGCAATTTTATCGATCCCTTCATCGGTTACTCTATACCACCACTGCTGTTTGACTTGTTCCTGTGGGTCGGATATTATAATTCCACCTGTAATCCCATAGTGTACGCCTTCTTTTACAGCTGGTTCAGACATGCTTTCAGAGTCATTCTGTCTGGAAGAATATTTCAGAGTAATTCTTCAAGGACAATGTTATTGTAAATGTGAAATCACAGTGATCCTAGCCAAATGCCTTTAATGAAACATACTGATGTGTTCATGATCTGTGTTAGCTGTCATATTGCTGTATTTTGATACCTGATGGGCCTCAGGATTTTATTATTGTATTTTTCTTTGTGCCCAATTCTGTCTTAGCAACACAGAAATAAAGTCCATTTGCCATGTTCACTGATCATCACTTGATTTAGAAATTACATAGTGAGTTTTAAATTAGTCTTTAACTTGTTTAAAATATCTCTAATTGTACTTGAAATAGTGTGTCTTGAATGTAGAGAATGTGTCTTGAATAAAAGTTTATTATTTTGTAATACTTTACAATAATGTTTAATTTTTCTAACATTTGTAAACAATTTTGTTAACAAGAAATAACAACGAACAGCATTTCTTAATCTTAGCTGATGTTAATTTCTGCATTTACTAAAACCTAAAAGTTGAATGTGTTAACATTAGTTAATGCACTGTGAGCTAACATGAACAAATATTTTATTAACTATAAACATTAACAAAGATTAATAAATCAAGTCTGCTTTATTGTCAATTCTTCCACATGTACAGCACATACACACAGAGAATTTAAATTGCGTTACTCTCAGACCCTTGGTGCATACAGATAACATAAATACAGATAGGTACAGATTAAATACAAAATACAAAATACAACTATACAAATATACAAATAAGGTAAAATGTAAAAATATATCTATATATATAAAGCACAAGGCATATGGCAGATAGAGTGCAAACCAATAAAAGTAAAACAGTGCAGATATAGTGATTGTAGTGCAAAAAACAGTGATTTGTAGTGCAAAAGAGCTTATTTCGACTGATTAAAGTGACAGTGTGTGTGTATTTGGAAATGCTGTAAAATATATATTAACTAGCCTAATGTTAACAAATGATAACTTGTGATGTTTTACTATCATTGTACATGGAAGTGAAATAAATGTCACGGAATTCCAGGAAAAAACAAGGTTAGATCCAAATGCAGTAGTTTATTAAAGTAACGAAATAAACAGAACAAAAACTAAACAAAAGGTAACTTCAAACACAGGGAACAGAAAACACAACGTAACCTCAAACAATACTGCAGCAACGACAGACAGTGAGAGCATGGTATAAGTAGTGATGAAATGATGAGTAAATTGCCAACAGGTGATAATGATCAGAACAGAACGACAAAGCAAAGGACTATGGGAAACAGAGTTCAAAACATGTAGCACAGAAACAGGAAGAGCGCCCTCAAGTGGCCAGTCCAGGGCACCACAACCAGACACTGTAACAATAAATGCCAGTACAGCAAGACAAAAAAGTCTTAATACTCTGTTATGCAGTGTTGCTTGTCAAATTTGTTTTGTTAGAAAGATTTGTAGTTTTTTTTTCAGTGCAGAGACCTGCCTGTGGTAAAACAGCATGATCAGTGCTTGATCTAATCTAATGCAATCACACAAACTGAGCTCATGTTACAAAAGCTGCTGTGGCCATTATTGTGTTTGTTCTTGTGTGTCATTTTAGTAGGCCTGTGTGTGTGTATATGGTATTCCCTATGTTATGAGGACCAAATGTCCCCACAAGTATAGTAATACAAATTTTTGACCTTGTGGGGGCATTGTTTTTGTCCCCATGTGCAGTGTTGGGCAAGTTACTCTGAAAATGTAATCAAATACTGATTACTCCTTTTAAAAGTAATCACGTTACTGTTCTGATTACTTTATTTCAAACGTAATTAGTTACATTACTAGTTACGTTACTTTTTTCTCCATGAAATGTATGAAATCCCAGCATACACGCTCCCGATAATATTTGTTATTAAAGCATTAACATTCACAGAACACTGTTATTTTTAACTAAAGCAAGCGGCTGCTGCGTGCATGGTTTGGCATGGCAGAATGCCAGCACAGAGCGCTGCATTTATAATCTCTAAAAGACATCTCAGTTAATCGCAATCTCACAAATCTCTGTTATAACACAAAAAATATATGCATAATGAATCTTTCATAATGTCTACAATTCGTGTGTTATAATGAGAGGATTCGTGAGCACGCAAATTTCAGCACTGCATTGCTCAACGCTGCAAACATGTGTCATAGCCTAAATAGAAACTCTGCATAGGCTTGCACCCAGGGCCGGATGTACCTCTTTTCGTGACATGGGCAAAACAAATTTTTGGGCCCCCCTTCCCTATTAATATACTAGGCCTAATTTTACCACCCAAGCAAACAAAAATATAAAAAATAAAAATTGAAGCTCTTAAACTGCTTCAAGAACCTCCTTACTGAGAAATGTCATGTAGCTTTTCAGCTGCAAAACTATTTAAATGATAAATTCGCAGAGCGGCGTTGACGACAAGTTTCTGTCCGTGTGTGCGCGAGTGCATCTCTGTGAGCGAGATCCGGAGAAAGCGTGTTTTCCATACATAAAAAATGTGGAATACATGGAAATAGTTTGTCATTTTTTACGCTATTGTTTGTTATATTTATTTGCTCAATGTCTTCTGAGGTTTCCGTTCTTTAATTGTTGTAGATAGCGCATTGTATAACAAAATATTATATATCTCTTCATTGTGTTTGGGCCCCCTAGGACGAGCGAGCATAGGCACGTGCTTAGAAGGCCCTGCTTGCACCTGTTAATCGTTTATATTTTATATTAGTTCATGTTGCTTTAGTGCAATAGATGAACAACAATTTATTTATTTTAGATACTTTATGTTTAGATATTTCTATTTTGCGGGAGTCCCGTGAATCATTTTATTCTCCCGCATCCCGCACACACACGAGTGTCTACCCGCCCGCACCCGCACTCGCCCATCTTGTTCTGCACCGCACTCTGTTGCGTCGGGTCTCGCGAGAACAGGTCTCTAATCCACTGGCACTTGACTCGACAGTGCATGTGCTACATCCTTTTTACAATTTCTAGATATAAAACACTGCATTCTGTCAGCAATGTAACACAGCAGTAACGTATAGAAACCTTGGCTTGTAACTATACTCTAATTACTATTTTGAAAATTATAATGTGTTAAATTACTCCGTTACTAAAAAAGTAATCAAATTACGGTAACGCGTTACTAAGTAATGCGTTACTGCCCAACACTGCCCATGAGGAAACAAGCTTATAAATCATACAGAGTGAAGTTTTTTTTGAAGATCTAAAAATGCAGAAAGTTTTGTGTGAGGGGTAGGTTTAGTTGTATAGGGTTAGGTTAAGGGGACAGAAAATACAGTTTGTACAGTATAAAAATCATTACATCTTTGCAATGTCCCCATAAAACATGGAAACCCAATGTGTTTGTGTGTGTGTTTCACAGAGTGAAATATTGAGTCAGCTACACCTACAACATGATCAAAGGGGTCAAGGTTTGTTTGGTTCAGTCTGACCCCTTTAGCCCCTGCTGGTGGATATTGTATCTACAATCGAGCAGCAAAAAGCATTTTCTTCCATTGGCTCCTTTTCAAAGCATGAATTTTAGAGATTTTGTTTTTCAAGCAACATTTAAATCACAAATATTTCATTATAGTATAATAGACTACAGCTCCGGAGAGTTTAGCCAATAGGTTTTGTCATGACGTTCTTGCATCCTTATAATGATTAGGCACATAAGTATTTTTTTACTTGTAGATTTATTTTATGGGGCATCGCAGGATGACAACCAACTCTTCTGCTCGTCCTAGAATATTACTAGATTTTAACTGGGAGGCCGGTTATGGGTTTATGAGGACAAACGTTATACTTTAAATACAGTGAGAGAGTTACAGTAACATTAAAACAGTTTCAATGTATTAATTAAATGAAGTATTCTAGCATATTACAATTTTGTTATTAATATTAATTTCATATTAGAAATGATTTGTTGATTCAGAATTGAGGAAGGCCAAATTGTTGATACAAGCACAGTTTTAAATATATTAAAGCACAGCATAACATTTTCCTCATATGTAATCTCATATCAGATATCTCAGCAACATTGTTAGGCTGTTTATGTTTGTTTACTTTGACTTATTAGATCATACTTAAATTTAAAGTAATATTGTGATGCTGTTTGCAAGATTATTCATGATTATTAATGAATATAATTTCTGTGGTATCAAAAAAAAAAAAATGGGGAAAGTGCCATACCACAAATGGGTTTATAGCCAGCATATGATAAGGAATGATAGGTTTGGAGTGGGTGGATATATGAATCAAAAGGCCTCAGTTGATCTTCAAGGAATGAAAACACACAGAAGTTTTATTTTATGTATTGCATGTCTGTTTTGCTTGTCATACATCACTACTTTAATGAGACACAGATGCTCAAGAAGTCTTAAATTCTTTAGATTCTTTAAGAAAAAAAAATGCTGAAAGAACGGCAGTGGGAAATTTATATTCTTAAGGCACACAACAATTATCAAAAAACACATTTTATAACAGTGAATAAGCACACACATATTCTAAATATTACAAACGTAAATGTATGATAGTTAATTTAAAATTTACATGATTATATTAATTATGATTATAAAGTGGTTCAAAAACTTTATAAATAAAAGCTTGACATGCAATGAATATGACATGGTTTTCTCTCACACCTACTGAAACATTAAATGTTAAATTTTTAGAGAAGAGAACATTTAGTGAAATAAGCAGAGTCAATTTAGAATAAAAAAATGAAATGACATCGCAGATTTTATAATAGGCCCACTAGCACAATTTATATAGTTTTTGATATAAAAGTTTGGATTTTTCTCTGAACCAGCTGTAAAAGAAAGCATAAATCAAGGGGTTAAACACTGCATTCAAATAAGCCACCCACATTAGCACCTCATATAATAGTGCAGGTATTGTATGGTTAACAATAGGATCTATGATGTTACACATGAAATAAGGCGTCCAGCAAGACATAAAAACTCCAATGACAATAGCAAGCGTCTTAGTGGCTTTCAGATCCTTTTTAGTAACTGATGATGAACTTGTGGGGTAGTTATTAATAACACGAACATGTTTCTGTGCTATAACAAAAATCCTACTGTAAATGCTTACAATTATAAACATAGGGAGGAAGTAAAACACAATCGAATATGTCACTCCGATTTCTCTTCCATGCAATGCTAAACACCCTCCCTTGCAAGCAACGTGCACCTCCTCGGTTTTTAGGCTTTCGATTTTCAGCTCTGAGAATATGATGCCAAAGCCGAAAAAGGCAGAGAAGCCCCAGCTGACCAGGATCATGAATACGCTCACACGAGTGGTCATTCTGCTGTGATATTGGAGCGGCTGACAAACTGCATAATAACGGTCAATTGAAATAAATGTGAGGTGCAAAACAGATGCATTACACAGTGTAAAATCAGTGCCGGAGTGAAACTTGCAGAAAAAGTCTCCAAAGTACCAGCACGTCTCCAAAGAGCGTGTCATGCTGGGAGGCATGACAAAGGTGCCCAGGAGCAGGTCGGATACGGCCATTGAGACGATCAGGTAGTTGGTGGGTGTGTGGAGCTGCTGGAAAGAGGAGATGGTGTAGATGACCCACAGGTTGCCAAACACTATCAGTATGATGGTTATAGTAAAAAGGAGGTAGAGAGGAGCACGTAAGACAGGAGAATATACTGTCTTTATGCATGAGTCATTCAGGGATGCAAAACAGAGGCCGAAAGACTCTACTGTCCACGGTTGACTCAGATTCATTGTACAGGCACTTTAATACCTAGAATGAGAAAACAGCTTGATTAGACTTTTCCCCCTATGTTTTAGTTTGAAATTCTAAATATTACAAAGAAAATATTGAAGACCCACTGAGACACTTTTAAAAAGTACTTTTAACAAATATTTACTTTTTAAATTTTTTTTCAATTTCATATCACATAGTTAATATATTTAATATCTTAAACATCTTAATTTTACATTAGGTTAGTATTTGATAAGTGAGTGTCGTATTTGTGTTGTTTTTTGTAATCTTACCACAGAAAGTCTTTGTGCGTCCTGAGTGGATGATGGAACATCTGTATTTTGTAGCCTTTTGAACACTTTCACACAGAGAGTGTATTTTTCTGAGCCAATAAAAATGGCCTTTTGTTGTCATGTGATTACAAAGAATTCCTGATTGGCTTTTGTGTCTCAAGATGTTTAAGAGTAAACTGTATGTGTATCTAGTGGTCCGTTTGGCTGGTTGTCCAGTTAGTCCATGCTGAAGGCCCTTAAAGGCATAAAATTAATTTTTATTATTATTTATTTAAATATTTAAAAAAATGTTCAGTCTGTGCTGTCTTTGAGACTTGTCTTATTGTGGTGCCATCAGGGCGTCAACTTTGTCATGACTTCACTTTATTGCAGGCTGATCTTATTTGCTCTGAGTTGTAAATGCCATGTGACAAATTTTTGAACCCCTAGAAATGGTGGAAAATGCATTTGATGCTTTTCAGAGCAAATTGTTCACGAAGCATCTGGTAGCCATAATGTAATGAAGATTGACAAAGTTAGATTTTTTTTCTTCAGGCCTTGACTTGGGGGCGTCAAAGGAAAAATCATGGAGCTAATTGTTATTGATCATAATTAGGTAGCCTATTTATTGTGAATGTTGACTGTACTATTTAACACTTACACATTTGATGTAATGTTGATGAAGAATAGCCATTAAAGCATGGCAGAAAACCATTTTGCTGGGGAAAAAAAACTAAACTAATTTTGCTGGTACGAGGTGGCATTTGGACTATATTTCCCACAATTCTCTGTGGCAGCATGGTGTTCTGCTACACTTTTCCAAGTGTGGATATAAAGACAGAAAGACAAGCATAGCTTCCTGTCTATAATGGCCATGTTATGCACATGTTAGTGTGTTTTCATGGTGAGACTGGAATGGATCTTCTATATTGATTTCTTAACATGCAGCTATTTGCTCTTGTAGTCCATGTGTGCAAACAAAGTCACAGCTGCTGTTCTTAATGACTCATGGATAAATATATAGACAGATTGATTGGACTTTGCCCCTTTAGCTGTAATGCTGGTGGAAAAAAATAATATTGGTTTTATTTGGTAACAGATCGGGGACAGACCAAGACTTTCTGTAGGAAAGGAGTATTTCTATTATGGGAAAAGTTGTTGCTTTGAGAGACTAATATTTATAGTAGCTCCTTCCATTGGAATTCCTTAGATGGAAAATTTAGGAAAATGTATTTCTCCCTTGGGAGGAAGTCTGTTTTTATGGAATGCTGCTTAATTGAAACTACAACTTTATTTATAGCTGTTTTGCAATGTAGATGGTACAGAAGTCAGCAGAACTAAACAGGCTAAAACCAACCTATCATTTTCCACAAGGTTGTTTGTTTTCATGAGTTTCTGCTTCAGCTTCATCATCGGATCGAGGTGAATGGGCTATCAAACACTAAAATGGATCTCTGTTATGAGGCTTTGAATGGATCCTGTGGGAAATATGTACGACCGTACGGCATCCACGTTCTGATACTCATCGCCATGATGTTGACCACCATTGTGACCGTCATTGGGAATCTACTGGTCATCATCTCCATTGGACATTTCAAGCAACTCCACACACCAACAAACCAGCCGATTCTGTCTCTTGCCCTGTGTGACTTTCTCCTCAGGCTGTTTGTTATGCCGTTGAGTGCCGTCCGTTCCATGCAGGGCTGTTGGTACTTTGGTGATTTCTTATGTAAGTTACACACATGCATTGACATGATTCTCAGCACCGCTTCGATTTTCCACCTCGTGAGTGTGTCTGCTGAACATTGTTGTGCTGTGTGCGGCCCATTAACGTATCATTATCGCTTCGGTTTTCCAACAGTGCTGTTAATGATCTCTATCAGCTGGTTGATCCCTGCCGTATTCTCTTACATGAGTACCTACCTCGAGCTCAACCTTCATGGTGACAGGGACTTCTACAAAACACACGTACGCTGTGTGGGAGGGTGCCACATCTTCTTTAGTCATGGTCCGGCGGTGGTCACCTCCCTTTTTTCTTTCTGCGTTCCTGGTCTCATCATTATTGGCATTTATTCTAGAATCTACATGGCTGCCCGAAACCAAGCGAGATCTATTAGTCTTCAGCTGAACCAACTGAGGAGAGTTTATCCATCGGAAGGCACGCATTGTCGGGCACAGAAGGCTACGATAACGATTGCTATCGTGGTTGGAGTTTTCCTGGTTTGCTGGACTCCTTTTTTCCTCTGTAACATCATGAATCCTTTTATTGGCTACACAACACCTAGTAACTGGGGAAATATTTAAAAACAATAGCAGCAGAAAACAGTTATACTCATAACTAAGGCAGGCCTAATTCAGAATAGCATAGCATACTATTGGTCAGTTAGACCAATTGCTTCACTAAATAATTCATCTGCTGGTCAGAACTGTGTAAATGCATCCAAAACTCAGTCATGCCTTCCTAATACACCTCGTTCAAACACGCCCCCACATATCTACATCACTGTGTGGGAAGATTTGCATCACACCGTCCAAATGTATACGCAAAGAAAGAAGGCGTGACTTTTATTCTCGCTGTAGTATTGTTGCCGCCGCTGCCATGTCGTGGAGACGCTGTGTGTTTCGTTGCAAAAGCCATACTACTTGGTTTGGCCTTCCAAAAGAGGACACAACAAGAAATCAGTGGTTACGTTTTATTTACAACAGTGTTCCAGAGCAGTACAACCCAAATATTTGAGTATGTGCAGCACATTTTACAGAGGAAAGTTTCCTGAACCTGGTAAGGGGTGTAACATTTCCGTCACACGCTTGAGGTATTCGGCCAATCAAAACGCACTGGATCGCTGGCCCACCGCGCTTTTCAGAACGATGAGCAAAGAGGAGCAACAATAATGTACAGTATGTGGAAAAATAATGTGTTTTTTGAACCTTAAACCACGTAAACACATTGCATTACGCCAAATATACAAAATAATGTTCTTTTTTAGCAATGTCATATGACCCCTTTAAGTGATTGAAAGGCAATAATCAGCTATATGCATTCACACAAATAATTTTTTATTTGAATGTTTCATTAATACCTTGAGAAAGGTTACTAGCCGAAACGTTGGTTAATAAATAGCCTGTGCTTAAGTGAGTGTGCAGTTGTTCTCTTTCAATTTTTCCTTCAACTTGCAACTCTATAGGTGTGCGTTCGTTTTTCCTCACTTGCTCATTAATACAACATGGCACTGAGTTGTGAGAAAAGAAATGCGTTGACGTAATTGCTTAATGTCCGAAAAGAACCGGTTCGCGGAAAATGAATCAGACTTTTCATCACTAGCTCATAACTAACTTAAAAACATTTATACTGATGATTTATAATAATCCACACTTAACTCTAAATATTTATGTAAATTAATACATGCAGTTATTTATTATTTCATGCTGTTTATGTTGTTTTTAGGGTCCTGGGCCATCTGATATGCATGATTTTTTTTGTCTCTTAATTACTGAATTCTTTCATTCTACTTATTTAATGCGCTGTTGGACACAAAAGTTTGGATTAAAGCACTGATATGTGCTGTTTGTCTTTTGTATGACATTTCATATCACACCTGTCATAAAGATCAGTGGGTGATTATGGGTAAACAGGCTGCACGTGATGGGTTATTAGTGCTGAAGAGGCTGTTGTTGTGTTCATCCTAATGAGTGACAGTGTTAATGATGCAACTTCACACGTTTGGATTTTGAGGCATGTTTGAAAGTCATTAAAACAGAGTGGTTGTAACAAGACTCATGGGAACCTTTGTTAACCAAAAAAGAAACAAAAGAAAAACATCACTACAAAAGAGTGTGTGAATGGGGCCCTTTTAGGCCCTATGAATGTGTGTCTATGTGACAAAACTGACATGAAGCAAAAGTATCTTAATGTGAATTAAATTCATTGTCATATAATTTAAAACATGAAATGTTATCATTAAATATTTGTTCAGGTGTGTCCATGTTCTTCACTTTTATGGTCTTTTGAAAAGCCAAAGTGAAATTATTCCCATTATTCTCTCATATTGTAGGGCTATGTGATTAGACTGAAGCACAAAGAAGTTAAAGTTTGTTTTCCTGTCTGTCTCATTAATGACAAAAGCTAAGCTCTGTAGGGCATTATAGGTAAACAGGTTGGCTGTGATATTAGGACACAGCTAATGAGCTTCATGCGAGGCATAAGTGCTAGCAGGTGAGCGCTGGTATTAACACCTTTGATTAGTCTGACTGCTTTGAGAGTCACTCTGATAAAATGGAGTATGATAACAAGTCTCATGGCTCCAAGACATTAATGAGGTGTGTGTGACTGACAGCTGTGGTTTTGAGAACCTGCGGTGGAGGCCCAGATAGACATTTACTGTGCAAAAATCTCTGGAATTGGTTTTAAACATATAATAAGTGTTAAAAATAACCTCTTCTAAAAGATAAGAAATACTCAGGTCAGTGCAGAAATTGCATTTACTGTAGTTGTAGTTATATAGTTTAAATACTTTTAAAAGCAATTTAAAGACATGTAACGAATCAGCTCATGGGAAATATGAATAATTAATCATAACTAGTTATGATTAATTATTCATATTTCCCATGAGCTGATTCGTTACATGTCTTTAAATTGCTTTTAAAAGTATTTAAACTATATAACTACAACTACAGTAAATGCAATTTCTGCACTGACCTGAGTATAAAGTTTGAAATGTTTTAAGTTTTATATATTGAATATTTCAAAAGGGGTGTGTGAAGTGCATTCCTCTATTTTAAAATTTAAATAGCTTTTTCTATTATCTAACACTAAAAACACTAATAATTTAATAACACTGTTAAATGAAACTTCTGTATACGCATTTTCCTACTTTAGTTTATAATGCTGTGATGCCTTAATTCACTTGTAGAATTGAAAGCAACTTTTGTTTAGACAAAATAGTATAGAATTTTAATATTGAGCACTTATTGGTTTTCAGCCATAACATATAAATAATTATTGCCTTATTGGTGTCGGCCAGAATTTTTATGTATGTGCAGTCATTAAAAAAAAAAAGTGCAATTGTCTAATAATAACAATTCTAGAGGGACAGAAGGGCCCAAAAATTATATATTTAAAGATGTATATTTCATATCACAGATGTTTTTTTTCCCATCAGTATATATCGCATTTAATGAGTGGTGTCCAATTTAAAAAAAAAAAAATGTAATCTCCTGATTTCATGTTGCTTTTGTAACTATGAGTTAAATTGACAGGTGTGGGTGGGTTCCTCTGAATATGAGAGTATATATGGACAAATCTTAGCTACGCTAAGTCCATTTATGATTGGATGGGCATGCACTACATATGTGTATATCTTTCTTTGGATATTGGACTTTAACAAACTGTACTTATCTTTATAATTCTCAGCCTTTTATGATTACAAAGAAAATCTTTTTAGCATCCAGGGCAAATGTGATGACTTTAAATAAGACTGATATTTACTTTGAAAATATGTTTCTCTGCTATCCACTCCTGCCAGACTCTTGTCCGAAACTGCATCGTCTTACTGTTGTTAAAGTGGCGATATATATTTTAATGGTGCTGATGATCCTCACAACAGTTTTTGGGAACCTGCTGATCATCATCTCCATCTCTCACTTCAAACAGCTTCAGTCTCCAACTCATCTGATCGTTCGCTCTCTGGCTTCCAGCGACTGTCTGCTGGGCTCTTTGGTCATGCCGTACAGCATGGTGCGATCTGTTGAAGGCTGCTGGTATCTGGGAGATTTTGTGTGTAAAGTACATTCTAGTTTAGACATGAGCTTCTGTATCTCCTCAATACTGCATCTCAGTTTAATATCTGTTGACAGGTACATGGCCATTTGTGACCCTCTAAGATACAGAATGAGGGTCACAAACAACACTGTGACTGTATTTATTACATTCATATGGCTGTTTTCAATTCTTTACAGCTTTTTTATTGTGTTTTCAGGTGTAAACAAAATTGGCTTGGAGTCGTTCATCTTGCAGGTTTACTGTGTGGGAAGTTGTGTTTTGTTTTTTAACAAACAGTGGGGTATTATATGTCCAATTCTCACATTTTTCCTTCCCGGGACGATCATGAGTTCTCTGTATATGAAAATCTTTTATGTTGCGCAAAAACATGCAAAGATAATGTCAGAAAGAGTGACTGTGATGGCAGCAAGAGGGTTGAAGAGCCAAAGCTCTGTTCACAGAGAGAGAAAAGCAGCTAAAACTCTGGCCATTGTCATGGGTGTTTTTTTGTTCTGCTGGCTGCCTATTTTTATTTCTACTATCATCGACTCTTTTCTTAATTTTGTGACTCCAGCCAGTGTCTTTGATGCTTTGGTTTGGTTTGGATATTTTAACTCCACTTGTAACCCATTGATCTATGGTTTTTTCTACTCTCGCTTTCAGAAGGCCTTCAAAATACTCATATCGTCCTGTATTTATGGCTTCATTGACTCAAGCACCTTCACTTTTGAATAAATGTCATTTTTATAGCAGGTTATCATGTTATGCATCACAATAAACAATTCTTCCTTTTATTAAACTACATGCTTTTATCGGCTAGTGCATGCATGCTGAAATAATTTACCATATAATATTGTGGACAATATGACAAAATATTAATAAACTTTTTACAACTATTGAAATAAACTGTGTTCTATATCTTATAAGAACCTCCTAAATTTAATGAAAGTTGTGATGTTATTATCTATTATTCCATATAAGTGGAAATTATAAATGCAGCAGTTACTTCTAACTTAAATGTAGGGCAAGGTTATGCATCAGCCTAAGCTCATTTAGAAATGAAGTATAAGACATAAAATTATATGTGATGTTCAGATGCAATAATATTGATCACACATGCATGTTTTTTTTACATTAAAATGATCCCTTTAGAAGAACATCTGTGTCCTAGTGTGTATTTGATTATGATTTTGTTGAAAATTGGAAACAATTGTAGGAGTGGCAAAAGAAAAAAATTATTTTTCAAAATCCAACATTACAGACAAAAACATGACTGTAAAAAAATCTGTAGTTTTTACAAAATAATTTTGGCAGCTGTGGTTGCCAGAATAATTTAGTAAAAATACAGAAAAACTGTAAAAACATTTACAGAACAAACTGTGAATTTTACAGTATAAAACTGTAATTTACAAACAAGAAAATATGAGTGTAATAAATTAGTAAATTCAACAATGCATACTGCTACTAAAATCTGTTTGGCATCTTTAACATAAACTGACAACAACCATAATATTGCAGGTGGTAGAAGAGACAGCAGTATGAAGAATCAGTTCATCACAAGTAGCTTTTCCACGAGCTGAAGTACAATATATACTATATAGAAGGCACACAGATTCATTCACGCAAACACTAAACACCATCATGGTAATACACATGGCACTTAAATAATGCAATAGCCTAAACATTCATTAAACAACAGAAGATGCAATATAAACCCAAATGTACATAACTGATAACAAACATGACAAAACTATTAAGAAACATGATTATTTAAACAAAATACTTTCAAATGTGGAGTGCCATGCAGAGAATTCTGGGAATAACAGTTTACAGTTTTTTTTACTGTAAATTATACGTTGATTTGTTCTTTTTTTGACTTTAAAATATGTCAAAATACTTGTGCGTTAAGGCCGGAATACGCTCAGTAATGGTGTAATAATGTCTCCAACTCATCTATTGAGCTTCAGGTCAGGACACAGTTGAAGTATATTTTCTCATTTTAATCTCCTGAGTTCATGTGTGTTTTTTTTTTTACTCTGGGTAACAGTGACAGGTGTAGGGAGGGTTACCTCAAATCTGAGAGTATATATATGACCAAATCTGAGCTGCTCTGAGTCAATTTAGGGAGTTAAACTAGATGGACATGTACTATATATGTTCACCTTTATTTGGATATTGGTCTTTTCCAAACTACAATCTACAAAATTATTCTGTTGATACTTTGGCTTATAGTTAACGGCCTTTTTACAGTTACAAAGGAATTTATCTCAGTATCCGGAGCAGACGTGATGACTTCAAATGAAACTTACACTCAGATTGTTTTTCACTGCTATCCACTCCGGCCGGACTCCTGTCTGAAAGTACAGCGTTATGTTGTGGTTAAAGTGGCAATGTATGTTTTCTTGGTGCTGATGATCCTCACAACAGTTTTTGGGAACCTGCTGATCATCATCTCCATCTCTCACTTCAAACAGCTTCAGTCTCCAACTCATCTGATCGTTCGCTCTCTGGCTTCCAGCGACTGTCTGCTGGGCTCTTTGGTCATGCCGTACAGCATGGTGCGATCTGTTGAAGGCTGCTGGTATCTGGGAGATTTTGTGTGTAAAGTGCATTCTAGTTTAGACACGAGCTTCTGTATCTCCTCCTTACTGCATCTTAGTTTAATATCTGTTGACAGGTACATGGCCATTTGTGACCCTCTAAGATACAGAATGAGGGTCACAAACAACACTGTGACTGCATTTATTATCTTCATATGGCTGTTTTCATTTGTGTTCAGCTTTTCTGTTGTGTTTTCAGGGATAAATGCAGTTGGACTTGAGATGCTGATATTGCAGACTCATTGTGTGGGAAGTTGTGTTTTGTTTTTTAACAAGCAATGGGGTATTATATGTCCAATTCTTACATTTTTCCTTCCCGGGACGATCATGTGCTCTCTGTATATGAAAATCTTCTATGTTGCACAAAAACACGCAAAGGTTATGTCAGAAAGAATGACTGGAGGGATGAAGAGTCAAAGCTCTGCTCACAGAGAGAGAAAAGCAGCTAAAACTCTGGCCATTGTCATGGGAGTTTTTTTGTTCTGCTGGCTTCCTTTTTTTACTGTTACTGCTCTTGACCCTTTTTTCAATTTTTTCACCCCAGCTGTTGTTTTTGATGCTGTAATTTGGTTTGCATATTTGAACTCCACTTGTAACCCCTTGATCTACGGTTTTTTCTACCCTTGTTTTCAGAGTGCATTTAAGATTCTCATTTCCACTTATATCTGTGGCAACAAGGATTGTAACACTTTGGTATTTGAATGAATGGGGTGCTCAAACTTATCACTTGTCATTTTCTTCATCACTTGTCACCCCCCCCCACAACTCTTTTATATGGTACAGTTCATTTTATCTTTTTATTCCTGGGTACAACAGAGCTAAAGACATACCATAACCCTATAAAGCCTGACATTAAAAATCATAGTATAAAATCATATATATATATATATATATATAAAGTTAGCATACAGTATGTGTTTTTGTTGAGTATCTTATTTGATTCCTCCGGCTTTTATAACTCATATAATATGATATATTGAGAATATGAATAATGAGGCCCAAACTGAGCAAAAATATGCAATTTGGTGATATTTATATGAGCAAATAGTAAGGTGAAATTCTGATGTATAATGTAAATCATTGAGATCTTTATAGAAGCTTAGCAGACTGCTTAAATAAAATGATATAAATATCAAACTCACAATAATATGTTTTATTAAGATGCTAATTTAAACACTTAGTTTTTGATGCTTTGGTTGGGTTTGCATACCTTAACTCCACTTTTAGTTTCTTATATCCACTTATGTCTGTTCTGTCAAAGATTCAAACACCTTGATATTAGAATGACTACAGCGCTTACACTTATTTCACGCATCACAATAACTTTTTCTTTTTATGTAATACTTTTATTTTCTAGTTCTATGTTACGCTGAAACCATTTAGCAAATGTAGGCTATTCTTTTTACTTATGAACTGTCTACATTTAACAGAAGGAGCGATCTTTAAATATTTAGTAATCTGAAGAGAGGGGCTGGGACTTTAAACATACAGGGCAAAAAATCCATGTTCATAAAACATATAGACATTTTCAGAGAAATTGCAGAAATCTGTTTGTACTATGTTCAGAAAAATATATTCATTTATAATAAAACAATCTATATAGCCTGCATTTTTGGTGAAATTAGCATTTTAAACAAAACCTTTTTGGTTACGACATGTTGGGTTTACATTCAATGGTCTCCCTTTAGCAAAACATTCACTTTTTGGCAGTTTAAATCACCCAGTTAGAATCCAGGTGATTAAGCACTAAACAGTCAAGAGATAAAACTCAAGACATGCGTTTTTTTCTTTGTTAGTGGAATTGTTGAATAAAATAGCTGCGATTGAATCCTGCTTTCTTGTCTCCCTGTCTCATCCATGACATCATTTCAGCCAACTAAACAACATCAGTTTACTAATTTATCACTCATCTGTCAGGTTCACAGCCCAGATACATGACATTAGTTACATTTTTGCATATAAAGTACCATTATCTATTTTTTACAGTATTTTTTTTTTCCTTAAAATTTTGTTTATGACTGCATAAAGTGGGGCTAAAGGCACATCGTAAGGAAACTGTTTTTCCACTACTCCCATAGTAAATCTAATGCTTACTTAAAGTTAGTCTTTAAAAACACTAATAACATCATAATGCTGTGAAATATCATCTTTAGCAAATACCAAAACAAATACACATTTTAATACATTATAATTTTGTGATGCCCTAATTTACCTGTAGCATGTAGAACGACTGAATTTAAAATGACCGTTTAAAAAAAAAAAAAGACAAAATTATATAGAATTTTAATAGGGTTGTTCCGATTCCGATACTAGTATCGTAAATGTCACCGATACCACAAACAATTCTGGCATCGGTATTGGTGAGTACTTGAACCCATGTACCGATCCGATTTTCTTAAACTAGACCTAGTTATGCCCGCTAGCTTTGCTTAACGCTGCAAATCGGAAATCAATTCTTTGAAGAAATGAAAGCAGTATGTAAGCTGTTTGGCAGTATTTCAGACTGGACCAACCAGCCAGTAAAACGGTGACATGTTTCATATGCCATGCTGCAATTTCGAGGGGTGGCACAAGTATTAGCAACTTTAACATTTGAAGACGCGTCGCCCCAAAGAACCACATAGTTACACAAAGGCGAGGGCAGAGAAGGATGAGCCGTGCCAGAATCAACAATCTTTGGAAGCTTCATTCAAACAAAGAGAAAAGTTTTCTTCATGGCTTGAATGAAGAGAAAGTGCTGCAAGCTAACGAGTTTTGTGGGTCACACACTGGCACATCCATAGCTGAATCAATTGAATCAATTGAGTCAATTGAGTCCTGTGTTCATGTTATTTTGCGTGGGAATGCAAGCAACATGAAAAAAGCTATGGACGAGATGGGTGTGTCGAGTTTAGGGTGCTTCGCACACTCTCTCCAACTGGTGGTACACGAAGGCTTATTATCACAGAGAAGTATGAGTGATATGCTGGCGAACTGTAGGAAGATAGACAGCCATTTCAAAAACTCGCTATTGGCCACAATGCGCCTGGAGGATCTTCAGAGGGATCTAAAAATGCCCACCAAACGTTTGCAACAAGATGTGGCGACGAGGTGGAATAATTATTTTTAAATGGTAGAGAGTTTACTTGAGCAGAAGTGGACGATTTCAGCATACGGAGCTGG